CCCGCCGCCGCCGCCGCGGCCCTGCCCGCCCGCCGCGGGCGGCAGGTGGGAAGTAAAAGTGAAATGGAGTTTGCACCGGGGGCAGGGAGCAACCGGGGCGGCCCCGCTTCACGTCGCGGCTCGGGGCGCGGCGGCCGCAGGGAGCGGGACAGCGAGGGCACCTGCGGGCGCTGGCAGGGGGGGCACGTGGGGAGGGCCCCGTGGCGGGTCGCCTGCCAGGGGTCGGGGCTGCGGCCGCGATGCGGCGTGTGCCAGCGAAGCCCTTGGCCTGATTGCGGCGTGCGCGCATTGTTGGGTCGCGTGTCCCTCATTAAAGCCGAGCACAGAGCAGGCCTTTCATGTGGCTTTTTATTTCAGCTTGTTAAATGGACAGCAGAGCGGGGCGGGGGGCGGGGAGCGCGAGATAAGCCCTCAGCTGTATGGAAATGAGGCCTTGCCACCTTTCTGCCAGCGCCCGCCTCGCCACGCGGCCAAGCTCCCCGCGCGGGCGGCGTCACCTGGGACAGCGCCGCAGCGCAGAGCAGCGCGGAGCAGCGCAGAGCAGCGCGGAGCAGCGCGGAGCAGCGCGCACGGCGCCCTGCCGCTGCGCCCGCCTCCCCGGCGCTTGCGGCTAGCGCGGATCCCGCCGTCCAAAAAGGGAAAAGGAAAAAAAAAAAAAAAAAAAAACAGTCCTGGTCTGGAGGCGAGGCAGCATGCCGAGCAGCGCATCCCCACTAAGCTTCCCCGGCAAGGCCCCTCCGCGCTTACCTTGCCAACAAAAAGCGACCACTTCTCTTGGAAAGCCGCTCTGGTGCGGGATGCGGCTCGGGCGCAAGGGAGGAGGGGCCCGGGCACAGCTCTGGAGCTGCCCCGGGGAGAAGGCGACGATGCAGCCGTGGCTGGCGCGATGGCATCAGCGCCTACGTGTGTTTGGGGAGGGGGCAGGCCTGGAGCTGCGGTCCCCCTGGAAGGGGGATTAAAACTTCTCCTGGTGGAGCGGCGGGCCAGGCAGAGCCGGGGCACCAGCACCGCGCCCGGGGCCGCCCCCCCGGCTTAGCTGCCGTCCCGGAGTCTGTGTGCGGCCTCCCCAGGCGCGACGGGAGCGGGGCGCGGGTGGAGAGCAACCGCGAGGCAAAGGCTCGGGAGAGGAGCTCTTTTGTCTCGCCCTCCTCGTAAACAACTCGGAAGGAGGAATGTGTCGCTGCTGATGAACTCGGAATTTTGCAGCGATCCGCCCGGCCAGATCCCGGCTTTACCAGCAGCAGCGTCAACTGTCAAAATCAAATCTGATGCTAATAGCTTCGGTACTAAATAAAATGAGAGGCCAGATAACATCAGTGCTTGATAAATGGTAATGAGTGTCTAACCTAGGGGAACAGAAGGGCTGTGGGGCTCTTTAATTCAGTATTGAAAGGCTAGCTGGGTACTGCAGGCTCTAGCAGATGTTAGTATGTGTGTGTTTTGATTTTTGACTTGTATTGGACGTTTATTAGGCTAACCAGAGCCACCCCACGCATGGCCACTCGGTCCAGGCACCATCTGGCACAAGCAGGGCGGCGTGCAAGAATAGGCCTCGCTTTGGTGCTGGAGATCCACAGGCAGCATCTACCATATGGAGCCGGAGCTAATGTAGGTTAGAGCAGGGCCAGCTCATCTCTGCTTTTCACAGCTCCGCCGAAACCTCGCCGGAATCCTGCGGGCGTGCGGGCACCTCCGCGGCACCTGGAGCCGCTGCCGCCGGCGCCTGCACGGGCCCCGGTACCAGCCCCGGCCCGTGGGAGCGCAGCACAGCGAGCCCGGCCTCGCGCCCCCCGCAACGCCACTATTCTCAGAAGGTCGAGCTCCTTGTGCAAAACCGACGTAAAACCCTCCCCGAAGCTCCTGGGCGATTGCCGCTATAAAAGGGTCTCGGCCATAAAGCCGTAACCGGGCAGCAGGGGAAACCACCTGCTGCACGGTGACACTCAGGCGCACAGGATTCAGATAAAGAAGTCGCATTAACAGCACGGGGCAGCTGGGGCTCGGCAGCGCAGAGCCTTGCGGGCCGTTTCGGGGAGCTCCATCGCTGCCCTCTCCCTCCTTCCCCCCCCACCCCCCCCGCTAAAGAAACGCGGCTCCCCGGCGGGGCGCGATGCCCTAGGCGGGAGCCGGGGCACCGCTAACGAGCCAGCCCTAATTAACTGCGGGCGGGTGAACGTCGCCAGCCCGCGCAGGCCCCCGCGCCCCCCCGCCCAGGGCTGCCCCCACCCGCGCTGCCAGGTGCGTCCAACGCCACCATGGCGCTTTATTTGGCCCCAAAGGGGCCACCGAAAGGCGCACCGCACGGGTCCAGGCCGTTTTCTGCCGCCGGAGGGGCCGCGGGGCTGGGGGCTAATCCCGGCCGTGAGCGGGCAGGGGGCCCCGTCCCCTCCTGGACGGGCAGCGCTTGGCCCCGTGGGGCTTTTGGAAGGGGTTCCCCTTGGCCGACCCCGATCGTGTCATAACGATGTCAGCGCTCAGCACCCGGACAAGGAGGACACTGCGCTCTGCACCTCGCGCGGTCCCCTCGCCGCCGCGGCGCTTCTGCTGCCTCCACCGATCACCTTTTTGGCTCCCGAGGTGGGAACCTGCCCGTTTATTCCGTGCTCGACAGCCCCTTCCATGTGCACAGCCCCAAAGGGGATTGGGGAGCCCGATTTCCTGATGGCTTTTAAGCCCCTTAGCTAGAAAGATGCGCATCGATTCAGCGCTGACACACCAAGGGTCTGAAAAAGAGGAAAAAAAAAAAGAGAGAGAGAAAAGACAAAAAAAAAAAAAAAAAAACCCACTTGCTTGTTTTGTTTCTGCCTAAATGTGCATGGCACAGAGCATCTCTCCAGGGAGAGCCGCTCGGAGGGGTGTTAATGTGGTCGATTTGGGGTACAAATGTTTGGAAATGTTTCCCGATTTGCACAGAAGGAGGGGGGATTTGCAAACTGTTGCTGCCACATGGCTCCTCCAGCCTGTCCATTCTCATTGTAATGAGGCCGGCGCGTGCCTCATCTGCCGCGGGGCGCTGCCACGGGCCGCCCGGGCACGCCGCGTGCCAACTGGGGCAGCCCGCCCG